GAATGGGCGATCTCTGGGGAAACTATTGGGAAAGCCCTCAGTCCATCCAACCCTTCTTTCTGCTGCCAGGACTACTGAGGCTCAGAAAGGGCAAGTGATTTTCTCAAGGTCATTATTTGCTGGCAGAGCCGGCTCTGAAACCATCTGGCTCTATACCATGACATTTCGCTTCAGTTCACAGATTCCTCCAGGGCCTGTGTACCTTTTCAGTCTGACTCATGTCTGAGGGCATGGACACCATCTCTCCAGGGCCTTCAGAGCGGGCTGACAAGCTTCCTCTGCTGCCCCCTCATGGCCCAGGCTGGGCTCAGGGAGGTCACCTGATAGCACCACCTGACCCTCAGAGGAACAGTGAAACCACAGCCTCCATCACATGGCGAGGGGTGGGGTGCTAGTCGGGGTCCGAGTACCCCGAGTCCCCAGTGGGCAGGAGCACAAAGAAGGAAAAAGAGCCACAGCTGGGCTAGGAGACAGCAGCCTGTGAGAAAGCCACAGCAGGGGCAGAGGGTAGGGAGTGAAGAAGAGCAGGGATGTGAGATGAAGCAGGATGTGTGCTGGGCCTGGGACCATTCCCAAGACGCTCTGGGTTCCCAGTGCCTTGGGGACGTGGAGGGAACTTGTCTCCACAGTAGCTGAGGGACCCCATCACCTGTCCGGCTGCCTTGATCTGCAGTTGCAACCTGCCACCTTTCTGCCCTCCCCAGAGTGTGGAGACCCTTCCCCTCCCTGCAAGGAACCCTGTAGCCTAACTTTTGTCCCCAAACAAATCGTGGTCCCTTCTGCCTCCCTGGAAGCCCAAACCTCTCCACTCCCTAGCCCCAGAAGCAACAGCTGTCTCTCCAGCCCCGTCCTTCCTCCTGTACACCCACCCGCCCTGGCAGCAGAGGAAGAGGTCAGGAGGTCCAGCGAGAGGGGCCCCAAGCTGGAGAAGAAAGGAGTCCACCCGGGCTTTCCCGCCCTGGATTTTGTGCATTGTCAGGTCTGAGGCTCGAGTCCCTCGGAATCGCCAATCTACTTACCCTGCAGGCAGAGGCTAAGGCGTGGCGGCCGCAGGCCGGCAGCTGGGATCCCCAGACTTTGGGCGACGGGGGCTGTAGGAGGAAGTGAAGCTGGGAGCGGGGTGGCGCTGACTGCGGAGGAGCTGCCTTAGCCCTCCCTCCCTTCTCCGAGCTCAGGCTAGTGGGCTGTGGGCTCCCGGTGTTCTCCACCCTCAGCCCTCACGAAAGGCCGGCACCGAGAAGTGGGCCTTTAACTCTTCCCTGCAAAGACAGTTGGGCCATCAGATACTGACCATCTGGACCACTGGCCACACCCCGCCCTCGGGGAGACACGCCCCGCTCCGGGGTACGCCTGGCCCTCACCACGGTGCCCCCAACCCCCTTCTGCCGTGCCAAAGCCCCAGGTAGGACTGCTGACAAAGAAAGGCAGCGCTTGGGTGCTGGAGCCTTGCCTCTGTGTGAGCTGGCCCGGAGCCGGGAATTCTTGCCTCTCTACGCTGACATCCACCCTCTCCCCTTGCCCACCACCAGTGCCTGCCAGCAGCCTAGGTGGCCAAAACCCGGTTCAGGGGAGAGAAAGCCGATGTCGACCGCCCCAGGGAGAGGACAGGCTCAGCACATCAGGTGTCCCTGGCAATGCAGCCTCACCCACCCAGCAGCAGAGGGGAACTTTCCCACCTCTCCAGTGCTTTCCACTGACCCTAGAGATCCTGAGGGTCCGGAGTCCCTTAGGTACAGGCGCTTCCAGCAACAGCCAACAGGTGGCGACAGGGAGGCCAACATATACCGCTGCCATTTATCTCACTGCCCTGGTATATGCCTTGTCTTGGGACCTGGGGACACAGCCAACACTCAAGCAGCCCTAGGCCTCTTTCTCCCTCACACTCATTTCCTGATGCAGGTATCTCCAAAATCTACCTTTCTTTACGGTCCAAGTCATTATTTTCTCTCCTCTGCAAAATCACATCCACCTTCAAACTGGTCTCCCTGTCCCACTTGGTAAGTCCTCAATCTTATTTTGCTTTTTTTTTCTTTTCTTTTTTTGGATACAAGGTCTCACTATGTAGGCTGACCTTAAGCCCATGGCAATCCTCCTGCTTGGAATTATAGCTGTGCATCACCATGCACGGCTCCACCCCCAATCTTACACTCCATTCTCTGTATGGTGACTGTAAATGTTGTATTTAAAATAAAATTTGCTGGGCATGGTGCCACTTCCTGTAATCCCAGCACTTGGGAGGCTGAAGCAAGAGGATCACCACAAGTTCAAGGCCAGTCTGAAATACAGAGGGAGACCCTGTCTCAAAAAATAAATGTATAAATGTATACATATATAAATATATACAAAATTGGGCACAGTGGTGCACACTTGTGACCCCTATACAGCACTGCACTTTTTTTTTTTTTGTACCGGGAATTGAACTTGGGTCCTTGTGCTTGTGAAGCAGGCAGTATCACCACTGAGCTAAATCCCTGGGCCCCTGTACAGTACTGGAAAGGCCAAGGCAGAGAATATCAGGTTCCAGCCCACTCCAGACTACACAGTGATGTTGTAACCACCCTCTCTAGTTTTTGGATTTTTGTTTTTGGACAATGAAGACTGAACCAACAACACAGCAAGTGGAATGACCAAATGCATGTTTATTAGAAAGAACAAAGGAAATGGTCTCTGCCAGTCAGGGACAGGGTTTTTTAAGGTGAACACCATAGATGTTCACATTTATCAGCTTTTTATATAGTTTTTGTACTGGTATATATGATAGAAATGCTTTTGGGTGTGGGTACCCTTTGATGTCTGGAAACCAAGCTGCTTTATTTGTGTTTTAATTTTTTTCACAGTCTGTCCCACTTGCTTAGGGACCTGTTTTTTGTCCTTCATATTGTATTACACTCGATAGTGTGTTTAATTAAATTGGGCCCACTGGTATTTTAACTCACATAAACCCCAACTTTTAGTTGATTTTAGGTTAACTAGTTAGGACCTTGGCCCTTTCTAACCTTTCCTATCTTCTTGTTTTAATTTTATGGGCAAAAAAACTCCCAACCTGTTGTCTGATGTACCAACTTTGTGGTCTCATAACATGGCAGAATAAAGTCTCAAGCCAAAGGAGGAAGTTTTACTGGAAACAAGGGGAGGAAGAATAGCTCCTGGATTCCCAGGAGGGATCCTGATTGAGTGGCCACTGAGACTCTGTCAGGAGTATTTTATACAGCAAAATCACAATGTGGGTACAATGTGGGTCAAACTACAATCACACTATAGGAGTACAAGTATAGCCACTTAGCTAATATTGATCCAGTGAGGAAACAAGTCATACAGCAAGGGTATATGGTGCGCATCATTAACATTAGCTTATCTATAAGTTTTACCACACAAAGAACACAGGCATTCCTGGAAAGGGGTGGGAGTATAGGTCCAGATGGTGTGGTCACCCACCTATGCCTCTGATTCCTGTCAGGTTTCAGTGCACAGGCAGCAAGAGTCATGGTACAGTCTCAAGCTGCTTGCAGGCCTGCTTACTGCATCTCCATCCTGTGCACCAGCACTCTTCAGTTCCCCTCCTGCCATTGTCTTGGTGCGTCCCCTCTTCTACAATAACTCCCTTTATGGCCCGATCCCTCTTTGGATCCTATTAACTTCCATCCAACTTAGCTGTCATACCAATGAGACCCTGTCTCAAAAGGGAGGAGGCAGGAGTTAAGGCAGAAGCAGAACATCTGCCCAACCTGTGGGGCTGTAAATTCTATCCCCTGCACCAACAAACAAGCAAAACCTTAAAAAAAAAAAAAAAAAAAAAAGGCTAGAGCTAAAGCTCAGGACAAAAGGTCAGGATTAAATCCCAAGTATTGCAAAAAACAAACACAAACAGAAGGGGTCCCGATGTAGCAAAACACTCCCAGAGTTCAATAACCAGTAATGCAAGGAGAACATCTCTGGCTGTTGAAGTTTGTCTTGTTTTGTTTTGCAGTATTGGGATTAAAATTTAGGATCTGCACACTTCAGTACATCCCGAACCTTTTGTTTTATATGTATATTTTTGTTTGTTTGTTTGGTACCAGGGATTGAATTTGGGACCTTGAGCTTGCAAGTCAGGCAGTGGAACCACTGAGCTAAATTCCCGGCATGTACATTTTTATTAATAAATTTTATTTTATCCCATTTCCCTCCTCAAGTCCCCTCCCCTCACTATGTACAAAAGCTTTGTTTCCATTTTTTCCTTCCATTTTCTTTTTTTTTTTTCTTGCCCCTTACTTTCTCCCTATGCTATATTTTATTTTGAGATAGGGTCTAACTAAGTCATTAAATGCCAGACTGGGCTCAAATTTGCAATCCTCCTGCCTCAGCTTCTCAGAGTGCTGGGATTACAGTCATGTGAGACTACACTCTGATGAATAGCAGTGTTTTCAGCAGGAAAATAATGAAGCAGAGAAATAAAACTTCATGAATCCATTGCTATTGGACTCACATTTCAAAAAACTTGAATTAGCCCAGTCACCGTTCAAAGAAATTCTCCTCAGGCTGGAGGGTTAGCTCAGTGGTACCAGAGAGTACTGGCCTAGCATTTTGAAGGCCCTGGGTTTGATCTCCAGTGCACACACACACACAAAACCATGCTTAAACATGACAAAAACCAAGCCTTAGCCCCTAGTGAAACCAGAAGATAGAGAAGTCAGGCAAATAGGGCAAAGGCCCTGAATAGTTAACTTAAATTAAAGTGAGGGCCTAAGTGAATTAACATACCAGAGGCCCAAACAGGCCATCAGGGCCTAATGGAATAGAGGGATAAAAAACGGGCCCTTAACCAAATGGGAGAGAACCTGCAGGAAACAAAAGGCACAAGCAGCAGCTTGCTTTCTGGACATCAAAGGCCTACCTGCAAGGAGGAACATCCCTGCCTGATGTATATATCAGTCCCAAAAGCTGTGTTAAAGGCCACTGGACTAACATCTATAGTTTGTTTGTCTCTTCCCTTCCTGACAAGCAGGGAGCCCTTTTCTTTATTCTTTCTAATAAACGTGCATTTGTCCATTCTCCACTCCCTGTTGCTTGCTGTTCTGTCAGCATCAATCTTCCTTGTCCCAAAACAAAAACCAGACAGCTAGGGGAAGATGCTTACACTATCTTTCCCACTATGCTTCATTTCACATTTGTAGCTAATTGGAAATGTTCCTTTTATCTGAATTTATGTTAGACAGATTTTTAATAAAAAATAAGGGAGATGCCGGGAATGGCAGCTCACGT